AACATTACCTGTACCTTAATAAACATGCTAACTATAACATAAAAATCTCTAACAGTCTTTCATTTAGTTCTTCTTATATTGATGATCTAGGGAGATAACATTTAGAGAACATCCTATAATCCTGTCTTGACAAATGTCGTGCGAATAATTTATATAGCTCTTATGAAAGTCGTAGTATTTGGAAAACAATCTGAAATCCTAGTCTAAGTTTCACGAGACAAAGTATTCACTTCATTTTACTAGAAAGAGACTACTTAATTAATAATCAATAATTTTTAAATATTCATGCTACTTATTTGAAATATTTTTATTTTATCTTTCGTAAAATGACCTATTAAAGATATAAAAATTATTAATTAAAATAAAAAATATATTTTATTGTTGATTAAAAGCAAAGAAGCATAATAATATATTTGCTCACTGCTCATGCAAGGAGCATTTTAGTTAGAAACTATTCTTTTTTTTAGTAAGTTAAACATGTATAAGCAAAATAATACTACGAGCAGAATATTTAAATTTATGTCAAAAATAATTAAGTTTACGAGTATGTTTTAGTGCCCATGCTAGTGAATAAAGTGCACTTGATTTTGTCAAATCTCAGGCTTTATCAAGGGTGATAATGAGAGCCTATGCAACGGAGGCCTTTAGTTCAAGTTGGTTTCCTTTTGAATTATTTCTAGGAGAGATAGATAGATAGATAGATAGATAGATAGATAGATAGATAGATAGATAGATAGATAGATAGATAGATAGATAGTAGATGGATGGATGGATGGATGGATGGGTGGGTGGGTGGATAGGTAAGTAGATAGATATATAGGTATATTATACATGTAAGACGATTAAAATATTCAAGAATTATTCCTTAACCTCTATAAGTAAAAATAGAGCATTGAAAACAAAAAATATTTTGAGATACAAATTTTAAAGTAAAATTATCATCATTGACTTTTCCATAAAAAATGTGACATAAAAGGCATGACATTCCTTGAAATTCGTGTCTACCTTGTAAATTATTGGAACCCTTATCAGTATAGGGTAATGGTAACTTATCGTAGTTATGCACTGTACTACTCTGGTTTGTCTTCAGTTATGCGTATTGATGAGACCTAAGTGACATGAAAACTACACTCCATTCTTGTTGAGCATAAGTTATAAGAAACCAGATTAAAGGCACTTCAATGGAAACTTGAGATTGACTCATATCATAGAATAAAATTATACTATCCGTTCTTCGTCGACTTTTGTGAACAAGTGTGGTTAAATCTCTTATAATATCAATAGATGCACTGGTGTCATCCAAATAATATAACTGATAAAAACATCTAATTTTCTTGAATTAATGAATAATTAACCTCTATTTCAGGTAATTATGCCAAGAAATACTGATGGAATGGAGTCATCGCATTTAAGTCGCTGCCTTGCTCGAGTTCGACAGAAGCCTAGGGCTCGTCAACATATGGCCCATCTTGTTTCCCCTGAGGATGATGCATTCAATTCAACAGAATTTTACGCCAGAAAATTAAATTCACAAAAATCTGAAATAAAGTGTTCTACCGAAGTAGAACTCAGAGATCCAGAATTAGCAGGGAAAAAGATACCATCTAAATCACTTGTAGAATTTCAAGTTAATGGGGCTAACCGTTTGACAGGCTGGCAGAATCTGACAGAATGCGAATGCTACTTAGAGAGAGAAATACAAGGAAGAAATGTATTCAAGTTCAAAACCAAAAACCAAAAAGTAGGGATTCTGGAAGCAACTTCTTTCCGGAGAAGTGTACTAAGTGTGGTTACCCGCCTGCGAGAACGGCGTAGACATCCCCGTTATCGCGTATCTGGTCCAGAGAAAATTGTGATCAGCCCGCCTAATATAGAAATAAAGAAAGAAGTGAAATCTGTACAGCTAGAAAGTGAGCAAACAGCGAGAACAGAGTTTGACAGAGCAATCGAGATTTATGAGCTAGAAAAGTACAGAACTATTCCCAGGATTCATATTGAATTGGAGCAAGAAACAGGAGTGACAAAAGCGAACTTCTCTATGAAATATGGGTAAATAATGTTTAATTAAAACTCTACACGTGCTCTCATTAAATTAATACTCGTCATCCTAATAATAAATTTAAAACAATGCAGATTAAAGCATTTAATTAATTAAATTTTAATTAAGTAAGCTTATATATGCTTTTGAAGAGGATTTGGAGTCTTTAAGGAAATTTTATTTACTAAGCTAAATTGAGCCTTTAATAATACTAACCTAAATAATGAATAAGAATAGGGATGTTTAAAGGCTAATCCTAAATATAACTGAGATATTTTAAGATACTTGAATATATTATCCATAAAGATAGGCAAGTTTTAAATTTCATTTAATATTCTGTTTATCATAACCTATGCCAGAATAAATTTATTTTTATTATTTTTATTTATATAGTTACGCTACTAAAGTAGCATGTAAAATATCATAGGAATATTGTCAAGTTATTTGTAAAATATTTTCTAATATTATTTTATCGGTTTTATTATAGTTTGATGGCTCAAGACTTGAATTATCCTGCGTATTTAGAAAAACTATGCCTAATTTCCGCTAATTTCAGTCTTGGATATGCATATAGTAAAGACTATCAGAACACTTATATTTTACTTTGGAATTAAGAAACCTAAAGCATCTGGTTCCGCTAAAATATCTGATTTTATAGCAACTATGTATTACAAAATTAGGAATTATTGCAGGGGTAACGGCTTTAATATTGGTGCTATGCATTAAATAAATTAGTACTCTAGAATATATCTAAAGTGTTTGGCCTCACAATAGAGCCATGCTTAATAAATTAAGTTTATAAGTGGGGTTTCGAGACTACAAGTAAGTCAGTTATAGGAGATGTATTCATCCTATTTCGTTTAAGAAGATGAAGGACAGGTGATTTAATTTTCCTAAAAAAATATGAGTATACCCTACATTTTCCAGTGAATTTTATTTAGCCTTGCTTTTCCAAATGGTGTTTTCATCCAGGCAGAAGTGGATTGCAGTTTCAATATCGCCTAGGTCTTATAAACAGCCT